CAAAGAAGTACATTTTTAGAAGAACAAAATAGATTTTGAAATGATTATTGAAAAAGTAATGGGTAAAATATCTTAACTTGTATTCTCTTTTTTTTTTTCCCCTAAGATTTTGCTTATTTATTTGAGAAAGAGAGAGAGAGTGGGGAGAGTGGAAGACAAAGAGGGAAAATCTTAAGCAGACTTTGTGCTGAGCCCAGAGCTTGGAGCCTAGAGTAGGACTCCATCCCAGGATCCTCAGATCATAACCTGAGCCAAAACCAAGAGTCAGACACTCAGTGCTCAACATACTGAGCCACCCAGATGGCCCATTAACTTGCATGCTGAGCTTTGTCATCAGTCATTATTTCAGTGTGTGATGTTTTAGTTGAAAAGAATTGCAATAAGCACTAATAGTTCCTAGAAAATCTTAACTTAAAAAATTGCTGTATTTTTCCTTCAACTTATCAATGAAGGGATCCTTTTTTTTTTTAATGTTTAAAAATTTTTTTTCAGTGTTCCAAGAATTGAACGGATCCTTGATGTTTTTATTTCTACCACATAGACTCCTTTCCTTCTAAATATCCTCTGACTATGATGGTACTGTTTCAGTCGATTCTTTTTTAAAGTACCCAGATTAAGTAACCTATTCAGTCATCATACACATTGAGTGCCTACTCTGTGTCAAACAGTGCGAGGTGCTGAGGATACAGGCTGGTAGTAGAGAAGCACACATAAATAGGATACTGTAATATCGTGAGATAAGTGATGTGATAGGGTAAGTACAGTGTGCCAGGGAACACCCTGTTCTGGGGTGAAAGAAGGACTGAAGGTTAAGTAAAATATTAGGCAAGTGAATGGGGGAGGGAAATAAAAAATGTTCTAACAGGGATTTTCAAAGTGTTATTGGTTCATGGACCAGCAACATCAACATTCACCTGGGAACTTGTCAAAAATTCAGGTTCTTAGGCCCTATCACAGATCTACTTAATCAAAAACTTGGGGTAAAAGCTAACAATCTGTGTTTTTTTTTTTAAAGATTTTTATTTATTTATTTGACAGACAAAGATCACAAGTAGGCAGAGAGGCAGGCAGAGAGAGAGGAGGAAGCAGGCTCGCCTCGAGCAGGGAGCCCGATGCGGAGCTCGATCCCAGGACTCTGGGATCATGACCTGAGCTGAAGGCAGAGGCTTTACTCCACTGAGCCACCCAGGTGCCCCAACAATCTGTGTTTTAATAAGCTTGACCATCTAGGGCACCTGGGTGGCTCAGTTGGTTAAGCCTCCGACTCTTGGTTTCAGTTTAGGTCATAATCTCCTGGTCCTGAGATCAAGTGCCCCATCAGGCTCCATCCTCAATGTGGAGTCTACTTGAGATTGTCTCCCTCTCCCTCTGTCCCTACCCCTGCCTGCTCTCTCACTTTCTCACTCTCTCTCTCACACACACACACACTCATTCCCTCTCAAATAAGTAAATAAAAAGTAAAATCTTTTTTTTTTAAGATTTTATTTATTTATTTGACAGACAGAAATCACAAGTAGACAGAGAGGCAGGCAGAGAGAGAGGGAAGCAGGCTCCCTGCTGAGCAGAGAGTCCGATGCGGGACTCGATCCCACGACCCTGAGATCATGACCTGAGCCGAAGGCAGCGGCTTAACCCACTGAGCCACCCAGGCACCCAAAAAGTAAAATCTTAAAACAAAAACCAAAACCTGACCATCCAAGTGATTCTCATGTACACCAAAGTTTGAGAACCCACTGTTCTAAACAGCAAATGTGATAAAACAAGAGTGTATAGGCGATCTCGCCATAAATGAGGTCTGTATGGGATTCGGGTAGCAGAGTAGGGGGTGTCATGGACGTGCCAGATGAGATTGCAAAGGTGAGCATGCTTCATTTGGGGTCTTTTAGGCTATGTTAAAGAGTTTGGACTTCATTTATTCAACAAATATTTATACTATGTCTACATTAAGGGTATAATGTGCAAAACGGATTCCCTGCTGTCAGGGAACTTAGCAATAAATATATATGTTAGGTGGTAAAAAAAAATGCTATGACACAACAACTTGGATGAATCTCCAGAGAATTGTGCTGACTAGAAAAAGGCAACCCCGAAAGGTTAATACTGTATAATTCCATTTATATAACATTCTTGAAATAACAAAACTATAGAAATGGAGAACAGATTAGTGGTTGCCAGGGGTTACAGCTGGGGTGGAGGTTGGAGGGAAGTGGGTGTGGCTCTAAAAGAGTGACAAAAGCCCTGTGGTGATGGAACTGTGGAAATGTTCTGTATCAATGTCAGTATCCAGTCGGGATACTGTACTATAGCTTTATAAAATGTGACCATTGGAGGAAACTGAGTAAAGAATATGCATAATCTATCTGTATTATTTCTTACAACTGTCTATGAATCTACAATGTTTCAAAATAAAGTTGTTGGGTTTTTTAAAAGATTTTATTTATTTATTTGACAGAGACAGAGAGTACAAGCAGGGAAGTGGCAGGCAGAGGGAGAGGAGAAGCAGTCCCCTCACTGAGCAGAGAGCCTGACACAGGTCTTGATTCCAGGACCCTGGGATCATGACCTGAGCCTAAGGCAGATGGTTAATCAACTGGGCCATCCAGGTGCCCCAAGAAAGTGTGTTTTTTTTTTTTTTTAGTGTTATAAATCAGGATAGGGGACTGAAAGAGATGAGAGGATTTATTTTATTTGGGATATTTAGGAAAAGCCTAGCTGATAAAGGAAGTTAGAGAATAACATATGAATATCTGGAAAATATTCAAAGTATAAAGGCCATGAGAATATGCTTGGTGTGGGTAAGGAATAGCAAGGACACCATTGCAGATAGAGTGGGGTGAGCAAGGACAGCAATGGGAAATGAAATCAGAGAGTTGATATAGATGGTGGTTGTAGAGACAGATCGGATTCGGGCTTATAGGTCACAATTAAAGACTTTTCATTCTGAGTAAAATGGGAAGCTATAGAATAGTTTGAAGCAGAAAAGTAACAATCGAATTTACATTTTTAAAAAAATTTATTTGAGAGGGAGAAAGAGAGAGGGTGAAGCAGGCTCCCTGCTTAGCAGAGAGCCTGATGGAGGACTCCATCCCAGGACCCTGGGATCATGACCTGAGCCAAAGGCAGACGCTTAACTGACTGAGCCACCCAGGTGCCCTCAAATTTACATTTTAAAAATATCACTTCACTAGGTAAAAAACTGAGTGGCGGGAACATGAGATTATGTGGGTTTGGACTAAGGGGGCAGAAGGTTAGTGGTTTAGTTTTGGGCTTGTTGAGGTGCCTACAGATATCTCAGTGGCGATATTATATAGCCTATTGGACATGTAAACGTGTCTGGAGTTTGGGTGGGAGTTGGGCTAGAAATATGAATTTAGCAGGCAATAGCATATAGGTATTTAAAGTTATGGTCTGGTGCTCGCTTCGGCAGCGCATATACTAAAGTTATGGTCTGGATGAGAACTCCAACAATGTGTGTGTATATAGATTGGGAAGAGAAGAGGATATCTACTTTTTAAAGGTTGGGAAGATAAAGGAGAACTCTACAAAGAATGCAGAGAAGAAAAGGACATTGAGATAGGAGAAAAACTGCGGGGGGCGGGGGGAGGGTATCTTGGTATTTCAGGAAGAAAAGAACAACTAATAGAATGAAGTAAGAAATGAGATTTATCCTTTAGATTTGACTGCACGGAAGTCATTGGTGATTTTGGTAAGTGCAGTTTTGATGACAGTAGGAGGAAGACCTGATTGGAGTGAGCTCAAGAGAGAAAGGAGAATCACTAGAAATTAAATATAGGCAGTGCTTTGGAAGAATTTTGATCACAGGAAAGGAGGTGCAAAGAGAAAGTAGCTTTATCCTATGAACAATGGGGGAGTTAATGAGCTCTTGGTGTCCCCCCTTTCAAGGACAGTTTAAAGTATTTGATATGACTAGGCACCTGACTGGCTCAATAGAAAGAGCATGTGACTCTTGATCTTGGTGGTCGTGAGTGTGAGACCCGTATTGGATGTAGAGATTACTAAAAAACTAAACTTCAAAAGTAATACATACATACATACATAAAACACTTGATATGACTGCTTCATTAATGTGTCTTTATTAGCTATTACATTGGGAGAGATTATGCTAGCTAACATCTTTATGTACAGTGAAAATGTCATCAAAAGTCAGTAACTCACTAAAGACTATTGGATATCAGATTTTGGTTGTCTGCTTTAAGTAATAAGATTTGTTTTTTATCTGTGAGTGTTCATATACATATACATTTATACATATATGTATATACACATTAAATATATGTACTATATAGGTATATAGTGTGTGTGTGTGTGTGTGTGTGGTGTGTGTATGGATACAAATACACACACATATATTTGCTAAAAAAGATATTTATAGTCCCTTTCATGTAGGTTAGACTTAAAATACTCCTTGGTTCCAGAGAGAAATAGAGAAGTGGAACCAATTTTAGTAATTTTTTTTTCTTAGGAAGGAAGAGAGAGAAGGGGGGTGGGGGAGGAGAGGCAGAGGGAGAGAGAGAATCTTAAATGGGCTCCACACCTGACTTAGGGCTTGATCTCACAACTCTGAGATCATGGCCTGAGTGGAAATCAAGAATCAGACACTTAGCCAACTGAGTCCCAGTAGGTGTTTTCTAAATTACATAATTCTATTATTGGTTAGAATTCTGCTTTTAATGGACTAGTCTCTTAAAAGGTACAGACATAAAAACTAGAGGTAGGAGGAAGGGAAGGAGGGATCCTGTGGGAGGAAGGGAGGATCATTCTCTTGTGAGGCAGGAGTTTTGGACATTTCTGCCATGTGGGCTGAATAGTATATAAGCCAGTTTTCAGAGAAAATAGTTATATGTAACATTTACCAAAGATGTACTGTCAAACTACAAGGCTCTGTGCAGAGAGGTAACCTGCCCAAAGCCCTACAGCCTATAAGAAGTAGAATCAGGCAGTCTAGGTCAGGAACCTAAGAGTTTCACCATCAGTCTCAGCAGATAAACAGAAAAAAATGGCAGCAGTACTGCTTAAAATTGCCTAAGCGGAAAGCAAAAAGGGAAGTAATCATAAAGACAGCAAACCTGGGTGCCTCCTGGGATTCAAGAGCAGGACCCGAACAAAGTCTCTGGAAGGACTGAGTTGGTGATTCATCAGGAAGCAGGTAGGATGTTCTAATTCCCAAATGGCAGACTCCGTATGTACTTCAAGTGGTATATGTTTCGGGCTTCTACAAATAAAATGTTTTATCTTCAATTAGGTTCTTTTCCATAAATGTACAACAGCATACAATAGGCAAAATAACATATAAAAGCATAGCCTTTCATCAAGTGTAAGAGAAGCAGCACAGCACCGTCCTAGGTCCCTAAAGATTTGGGTTTTGTTCATTCATAAATGCTCATGGAAACTTTTGGGAGTGATGGATATGTTTGATATATTTAATGCCTTGATTGTGGTGTTAGTTTCACAGATGTGTACATATGTCAGAACTTAACGCTTTAAATATGTGCAGTTTACTGTAAATCATTTTTACCTCACCAAAGTTGTTTAAGATAGTGACTGAGTGCCCACAGGGTTGCTGGCACCAGGCTACAGAGAATATAGGCAGAACCCCATCCCTCAAAGGACTTTTACTCAAGTGTGGGGCCCGGGCATGGAAGCACACAAGTCACAGAGGAACAGAGAGAGGCTGTAACATAGAGAATCATGTGCTTTGCCTCCATTTCCTTATCACATCTGTTCCCCTACCTCAAAGGATATAGTAAAAATCCAATGAAAGCACTTTGTGACAAATGCTCTAAAAATATAAAGGGGTTGTTTTCAAAACAGGATGATTTTTTAAAGATTTTATTTATGTATTTGACAGAACACAAGCCGGGAGAAAGACAGGCAAAGGGAGAGGGAGAAACAGGCTTTCTGCTGAGTGGGGAGCCTGATGCGGGGCTCAGTCCCAGGACCCTGGAATCATGACCTGAGCCGAAGACAGACGCTTAGCCCACTGAGCCACCCAGACACCCCAAAAACCAAGATGATTCCAGTTAAACAACTTATTTAGAATCCTTGATGAGCCATTTTTCAAATAATGCCAATATAAAGTAATTACTGAAGGTGTTATATCTACACCCAAAGTAATAAAAAATAGTCAGACTTGACTTTGCCATTATTATCACGGTAATTTCATTTGTGTGACTTTAGGTAAGTGACTTCTTCTCTAAGCCATCTTTATAAAATGGAAATATTAAAATGGACCTCCAGGGTAGTTGTGAGAATTAAATGAAATAATGTATGTTAACTGTTTAATATGGAGCAATAATGAAAAGTACACCTGATTTGAATTTTTTAAAGAAAAACTATTCATTCCTTTTGAACTAGTTCACATCTAATATTTTCTCTTTCATTAAGCTATTTGTACACATAGGGAATTTTTCATAATAAGTTTTACTCCATAACAATATCACAGTAATTCCAAATTTGTTTCTGTCTTATTGTAGTTGTAGGTTGGAGGATAGAAAAGATGGAGAGTTGGATAAATTTGGTTGTCACCCTGCAGTCCTTGAGTAATTCAGTCTGTTTTTATCCCACTTCGATGGCTCCAAATAATTATGGGATGATAGTTTTATATGTCCTGTTTGAGGTTTATTTGGTCCCTCTGATTGTTGCCTTTGATAGTGGAAGAAATACTGATAAGGTCAGTTAGGGTGAAGAAATAATGTATACTCAACTCAGGCCATTAGTTCCTCCTACTTCAGTGGCTGATCCATAAAATGAGGTAAGGAATACAATTTTATTTTTATTTTCTCTATTTAAATTCAATTAGCCAACATATAGTACATCATGAGTTTCAGATATAGTATTCAGTAATTCATCAGTTGCATATAACACTGCAATTTTATGTTTAAACTTTTTTTCAATGGACTTTTTTTTTATTGAGGTATAGTTGACATACAATGTTATATTAGTTTCAGGCATATAACATAGTGACTTGACAATTCTATACACATTAAGCTATGCTCACTAAGGTAAGTATAGTTATAATACATTATTATAATATTATTGGTGGTATTCATCATGCTGTACTTTTCATCCCCATAACTTACTTATTTTATAACTGGAAGTTTGTACCTCTTAATCCCCTTTACCCATCCCCCTAAACTCTTCCCCTCTGGCAGCCACCAGTTTATTCTCTGTATTTATGATTCTGTTTCTGTTTGTTCATTTGTTTTGTTTTTTAGATTCCACATATAAGTGAAGTCATATGGTATTTGTCCTTCTCTGATCTATTTTACTTAGCATAATACTCTCTAGGTCCATCCTTCTTATCCTGAAAGGCAAGATTTCATTCTTTTTTAAAAAATTTTATTTATTTATTTGATAGACAGAGATTACAAGTAGTCAGAGAGGCAGGCAGGGAGAGAAGAGGAAGCAGGCTACCCGCTGAGCAGACAGCCTGATGTGGGGCTCGATCCCAGGACCCTGAGACCATGACCTGAGCCAAAGGCAGAGGTATTAACCCACTGAGCCACCCAGGCGCCCCGATTTCATTCTTTTTTATGGCTGAGTAATATTCCATTAAATATAATCCTATATATATCTATATGTATTACATCTTCTTTATCCATTTATCTATTGATGGACACTTAGGTTGCTTCAGAGTCTTTGTTCATGCTGTTTCCTCTGCCTGGAATGCCCTTCTCCTTGAATGATTAGCATCCTTTGGATTCAGTTTGTGATTTATCTCCTTATTCATTTACTGAATGCCTGCTACATTCCAGGCATGTTCTAGATGCTAAGGAGAGAGCAGTGAAGCAAAGAGACCTCTCCTAAGTACCCAAATGAAGCCCTCTTCCCCATTATTATCCTCCTTCCATCCTTGTTTGTGTCCCTTTTTAGTACTCACTGCAGTTTGCAGCTATTTTACTTCTTTGCTCGTCTGCTTCTCCCTCAACTGAAATACAAGTTCCATGATGGCTGGGGCCTTATCCATTTGTTTGTATCCCCCATGCCTGGGATGTGGTAGGTCTCAATAGACACTAAATGAGGAATCATCAGCATCTAAAGAAATTTTACAATGTCATCTGCTAAGAACTAAAGCTAAAGAAGATGTGAATTATGTTTAGTGCAGATTCAATATAGAAAATTAGTAGTTTAAAAAAATGAGTAATCTATAGCAAAGTCCTAGCTCATAATAAATGCCCATCAAGATAATATTTGAATATATAAATGAATGAATAAGTTTGAATTTATTGCCATAAGTCCCATATGGGACATTTGTAATAACTTGAATACCAACCAGTATTTTTTTTTTCATCTCACCTGATTTGATCTCATTTAATGTTCAAATTCTTGGCCAAGGAGCCAGCAAGTGCAATAATTCCCTTTAATAAACCCGTAAATTTATTTTCTATGGTACTTTTTTTTTAAGATTTTATTTTAAGGTTATCTCTACATTCAATGTGGGGCTCGAATTTACAACCCCGAGATCAAGAGTCACATGGTCCACCAACTGAGCCAGACAGGTGTCCCTTCTATGTTTGTTTTTTTTTAAAGTAGGCTCTACTGGGTGATGGACACTGGGGAGGGTTTGTATTGTAATGAGCACTGATATTATATAAGACTGATGAATCACAGACCTGTACCCCTGAAGCCAATAATACATTATATGTTAATTTAATTTTTTTTTAAAGTAAAAAAAAAGAAGAAAGTAGGCTGTATGCCCAGTGTGGAGTCCAACATAGGACTTGTACTCATGACCCTGAGGTCAAGACCTGAGCTGAAATCAAGAGTGGGATGCTTAACTGACTGAGCCACCCAGGCGACCTGAAAATCACCATTTTACAGCTATCTTAGTGATAACTGATTCAGACTATATTCAAGGATACTAAGGCAATTGGGCAAAAGACTCGAGCACAGAATATTCACACAATCTTACATTTACTCCACTGATCAGGTATTAATTAATTAGCACATATAAAGATAAAGAGATAAATGAATCATCAAAATTTTATGGAAAACTAACCCCCATGTAAGAAGAGCACTGAATTTGGGGCACCTGGGTGGCTCAGTTGGTTAAGCATCTGCCTTCAGCTCAGGTCCTGATCCTAGGGTCCTGGGATTGAGTCCTGTGTCGGGCACTCTGATAAATGGGGAGCTTGCTTCGCCCTCTCCCTCTGCCTGCTGCTCTTCCTGCTTGTGCTCTCTCTCTTTTTCTCACTCTGTCAAATAAGTAAAAATCTTAAAAAAAAAAAAAAAGGCACTGAATTCAACAAATGGAACTAAGCTCTCAAGAGAGTTGATACAGCAAACAAAAGGACTCTGGGTGAGGAAACGAAATTAGTATTTTTAGTGTGTTGTGAAAGAATTCTTCAGCCACATCAAAGAGTCAGTTTGAAATCTAGGAAATTAAATTTTTGGTTTTTGAAATAAATCAGTAGAAGGTTTATTAATAGAAGAGAGGTGGCTGAAGAATAAATTAGTGAGTGGCGGGTTGAGGCCAAGGAATTCTCCTTCAGTGCATTTCAAAATAGATCTGAAAATTTAAATATTCATTTATAGAAACACTAGAAAAGAGAAAGGAGAGCATGTAGAGGAGAAAATAAAGTAACGATAAAAGTAGATTGCTCAGAGTTTAAGAAAGATACAAGTCAGGGGCTAAGAGGATGGGCAAACTGGGTGAAGGGGAATGGGAGAAACAGGTCTCCAGTTATGGAATGAAAAAGTCTTGGTGATAAAAGGTACAGCCTAGGGCATATAGTCAGGCATTGTAAACGATGTCATATGGTGACAGATGGTAGCTACACTTGTGGTGAGCATAGTATAAGGTATAGACTTGTCAAATCACTCTGTTGTACTCTTGAAACTAACGTAACATTGCATGTCAAACTATTTCAGTGAGAAAAAGAAAAGCTACAAATCTTCAAATTGAAAATGTTAACCAAGATGAATGAAGTAGAACCAACACCTAGACTTGTCATAGTGAAATTTTAGAAAACTAGGAATAAGGATCAAATCCTAAAAGCTTCCAAAGGGGTAAACAGGTTAAGCTTAAAGGAATGCAAATCATGGCATCAGGTTTCTCATTGACAGCACTGCTGGAAGATGATGGAATGGTATCTTGAAAGATGTGGGGGAAAATGATACTGAGAAAAACTAGGTTTTAAGTAGAAG